ATTAAAAATTATTTTTAATTAAATATTTATAAATAATTTAATATTTGTTCTGCGAATTATAAATATAAATAAAATAATATATTAATTGAAATTATGTTTATATTTAATTAATTATATATAAAATATAAATATTAATTTATAATGATATTATCCAAATTTATAATTTGCATAAACTTCGCGAAACATATCGCGACAATTTATTTTAACTTGAAGTTTGGCACATAGTAAAAAAATTCCTGATAATTTTCTATGTAAACTATAAATTTCTTCAGGTGGAGGGCATAACCTGTGATCTATTATTGTTGGAACTAATGTTTGAATTCTGCAATCAATATATATGTACATTAATTTTATAAATTTTTATTTTAATAATAAATTAATCTTACCTTTTAGTTACATCTTGTCCACCAAAGTCATAGTATTTATAATTTTTATCAAATACTTGTCCCAAAACCATTACTGCATCTACATGAGCTTCTTCCATAAGCTGAAATTAATGCAATATAATAAATAAATAAATATCAATTTAATAATCTATTTTGAATTTGCTAGAAAATATTATGTTATACTTTAGATTCATATCCTGTAAGAAATCCCATGTCTCTAGATAAATTTAAAATTTTTTTACGATCACCTTCACTTGCAGCATAAATTACTTCAATATATTTATCCATAAATGATTTCTCATAATCTCGACATGCACCAAAATCTAATAATATTAACTAAAAATTGTATTAATATTATAAATTAATATTACAAATTTATTAATAATATGTACTAATAATAATGTATTAACTTCTTAATAATATCTTATATACTTGTCTTGTATTAGTATTGTAAAGAAAATTAGACCAATTTGGATCAGTTTGCATATATCGAAAAACAAATAATTCCTTAAGGCACAAATTCATTATTAATTTACAGATATGTTCCTTTGTATCCATATCCATAGTAGTACATTTATCTACTGGAATTCCTTCTACCATTTCAGTTGTAAAAATTTGATTTGTTGACAGTTCATCTAAATTAAATTATTACTAAATTAAATTATTACTTCTATATTTATATTATTCATTTTTAATTTATATTGTTCAATTCATTTACCAATTACAGTTGGAACATAATAATTTGAATAAGGTTCCATTAATTTTTTATATTTTCTAGTACATTCTGCTTCTCTGATATAATCCACTTCCCATGCAAGTTCACGTTTTGCAACTTCTACTAAATTATCTATAAACATACCTTTTGGAAAAATATTCCAAACCTATAAAAGTTTTTTCATTAAATATATTTTTTATAACCTAAAATGAAATCAAAATTAAAAGTTTTGATACCTTCATTATGCCTATTAAATTTTCAACATCACTTTGAATACCCATAGCTACACCAGGATATTGAATTTTAATTGCAACATCCTGTCCATTTAACAAAGTACCATGATGTACTTGACCTAAAATATTTTTTTACATAAAGAATATCTTTTTAAAAATATTTGTATATTATTTTTGAAAAAAAAGAATATTTTTAATAAAAAAAAAAAGAAAAATATAATTTTTAATTAAAAAAAATTACCAATAGAAGCTGCAGCAAATGGTTTATCTTCAAAAGTACTTAATTTAGTTCTCCAATCATGTCCAAGTTCAGTACTTAATACTTTCTCAACTTGCCATGTTGGCATGAAATCTGCACTTTGTCTAACTCGTTCAAATACTTTTTGTAATTCAGGACTTATAATGGTTTCATCTTGTATACTTAAAATTTGTCCAATTTTTAAAGCAGCACCTATATATATGTAAAACATGTAATCATTAATTGACAAATATACAATAAAGATATTCAGAATATTTACCTCTTACTTTACATAAAGTAGAAACTATTCTTTCTGCATTTGCTTTAGTAAGAAAAAGAGTATCAAATGTGTTTCCAAGACTTTGTTTTTTTAATCCAAATGTTCTGCGTGTGTATTCTGCAACAGTTCCAACACCAAGTCCAATTCCTAATGTTCCAAAGCTCATCATTCTTTGTAATCTGGTAGCTGGAACTTTTTGAGCTTTTGCATTAGGTGAAAGCTTTAAAATAAAAATTTATTAATTTATTTATATATAAAATATATTATATAATTTAATATAATTATTTAAATATAATATAAAAATATAAAGGATTTTACAGTTTTTTTTGGTCTAACAGATGGTTTTAATTTAACTTGAGAATTATTTGAAGTTATTTTTTTATTTTCTATTTTAATAACTTCAGCATCAATTTTTGATTCATTTGATATATCTTGTTTTATGTTTTGACTTTTTATATTTTTTTCATGTTCTAATTCTAATTTCTTCAATATTGCTTTATCTTTTTCAGAAAGTACAATTTTAGGTATTTCATTTTCTAATTTGGAAATGGTTTCAATTTTTTCTTTTACAGTTAAATATTTTTTCATAGGTTTATCCTGTGTATCTTCATTTGTGTAATTATTTTCAGAATTATATTTCATTTTTGAAATATCCATTTCTATTGTTATTTCTTTTGGATCTTTAGCAAGATTATAAATATATAATTTAGTTTTTTTAGTTTTTATCGGTATCTCAACATCTAATGACAATCCTGTGATTTCTTTAGTTTTTAATTTTATAAATTCTATTATACCCTTTTCAATAACATTTAATCGTTCTACAATTTCTTTAAATTCTTTTGTTATTTGAAGCTAAAAATTACAATTAAATTATTATTAATTTATAAAATTAATTTATATTAATAATTTATATTAATAATATTAATAATTTATATAACAAGCAATTATTATTTAAAGATATTTTATGTTTCATATTTTTATTTATTATGTTTATATTTATTTATATCTTATATTTTAAAAAGATATATATATAATATATATATATATAAATTCTATGATTTCTACTTATTTTTGAAACTTACAGGAACCTTACTTGGTTCTATATTATTCAATGTTTTTAAATTATTTGTCAGACATCTCTCTGCAGTAATTTTTAAAGATGAAGTCTGTATTAAATGTGTAATTGTCTCTTCTTGATATTTAAGCATAGCATCAGCTACTGTTTTAGCTCCTTTAAATATACCAATGACATCAGACATTCGATGTTGAGACATTTCTGTAATGCAAGTATGAATTAATTGTTAAATATTACTGATATATAATTTGAATAGATGATTTTTATTTTGTACTCATTATGTTTGTCTTTTATTTTTTAATAATTATCATATAATAGATTATTTTGCATAAAATATTTATAAGGAATATTGGAACTTTAGAAAATTACGTACTTGAATATTAACGTATTTCTATACTGCATATGTTTAAAATAAATACAGACCTTGAAACTTACAAATAGGGTTATATTAGTATTATTTCAATAGAATCATATGTTAATATTATTTTGTTACTTATAGATATATTTTATATTAATTAAATGTGATTTTTACATAAAAATAATTTTATTATAATCGATTTTTTGTTTAATATAAATTTTATAACTTAATAATAATTAATTTTTGTGTAATATAATATTTGAACATGGCATATGTAAACATGTATGGATATGTAGAATATGTGTATAATATCAAATATATAATACCTAAAAATAATATAATATAAAAACATGATACAATTTTTTTACTTCGAATTTCATGCTTAAAATCAGGATTGTTTTATACTATTTATTATTTACTTCAATTTCTAAAATGTTATTTAATTATATTGTGTTAAGGTTATAAAAATATTCTGTATTTTTGTAATAATCATTTCTAAAATTTATTATTTTATTATATCATATTTTTTATTAATATTATTAATATTATCATTCGATAACAATAGTCTATTAATTATTAATTAAAAAATAAGATAATTCTACAATTTATTAAAAATATTTAATTTATTATAATATAGAAATATATTTACTTACCTATTTATAAATATATATATTATTAGAAAAATTATAATTTCATAAAATATTATTTTAATAACATTATTGCTTTAAAATTTTTATAAACAGAAACTGCATTTAATCTCATTATTTTTTTTCAATATCTATATTTATCCACGCCTTATAAGCTCTACAATAATTTTATTTATATACACATTTATATATTTTTCTCGTTGTACTTTTATATAACTAAAAACAAAATTTATTTTACAACAAATTATAAACACTTTGAGATGATTTGCAATAAGCTTTTAATAAGTTAAATCTAAACATTTTCTACAAAATTATCATTGATTATAAATTTATTTTGTTTATATATTCTGAGGTAATCTCAATTAATTAAACTAATACACAAAATTATTAGAAGTATATAAATAGTAATATTTATAAAAAAATGATATTTATCTTAAGTGTATATTTGATATATATATTTATACGTACTTATTATATATTGTATACAATATTTATATATATATATATATATATATATATACATACACACATATATATATATATACACATATAACATACTTGAAAAATTTGTAAAATTTTTTCAAATTGTTTTTCTAAAAATGTTATTTTTAGAATTCTTAATGAAGTTTTCTTTAATATCAATATTCACTAAATATACATGTAAAAAGAGACTACCTCATTAGGTTTGATGATTTTGTTTTGAAAGCATGTATAGAAAGAAAAAAAAATTAACTTTACAATAAGATTGAATAATAAATTTGTTAAAATTAAATAACATTTGGTTGATCTGGAATAAGTGAAGCAAAAAATGTACTGAAAAATGTCCATGTAAAAGCAAGTGCACCAGGTCTTTCTTCTTCATGTTCTTCATTTGCATTTGTTCTTGCTTCTGCTTGCACAGTTGGCACTTGACCATTTTGTTGCTGTGGTACAGGTTCAGGACCTATTGCTTCATTCTGTAACATTTGATTATTATTATCTACCCGATCTCCTCTACCATTATTATTTTCAGGTAAAAGAATAGGTTGAACTCGAAAGAAACCACCCTGAAATCTAAAAAACATTCATTCAATTATATTATATTTATATATAAAATACAGAAGTATTATAGATATGAACTTACAGATACATTGCAAAGCCAAGAAATGTAACAATAAGAAATCTTAGAGGGGATGAATAAAAATATACCATACTAAAAAAAACAATAATTCTGGATAGCATATAAAAAACGTCTAGCCAATCTCTATTAAATGCACCATCTTCTCCAGCACCATTATTTCCTGCATTAACATCAATTTCTTGAACAGCAGGTTGTTGTTGTTCATCACCTACATTATTATTATTATTGTTGTTGTTGTTGTTATTGTTGTTATTACTACTATTATTATTTGTGTTATTTGTATATGAATTTTGAACACCATCATTTGTATTGATATTCATTTGTTGAACATATGGAATGCTAGTTTGTAATTGTATTCCTTGTGCTGCTATTCTATAAAAAAAATTTTTCTTTTATTATAATTACTTAAAATTTTTCTTAAAATTAAAAAAAATTGTAAAAATATCACTTACAATTGCATATATTGTGTAAAATAATGTGTATATGCTTGTTGCATCCAAGCCATTTGTTGACTATTTCGTGGATCAAAATATTGTTGTGTAGAATATAATTGTGCTGGAGTATGTTGCATAGCAATATTATTAATATGTTGACTTTGATTTTGAATACTATTTGTATTATTTAATCTGGTATGTTCTACTGTATTTCTTGCACTAGAAATATTTGTATTTTCTATGATTTGATCAGTTATTTTATTTGTAGATATTTTTTGTGAAGCACAGACTAAATGAACTATATAAGTTTGATCTTCTTGTCCATTACAATGTCTTAATACATCTTTTAAACACATAGAATCATTTAATAATTGTCCTGAATATATGAGTTTCTGGGTTGCTCGTTCCTAAGCAAAATAATTTAATAAAATATAAATATTTATTATAATATTGATTATTTAAAATATAAAATTTTCATTTATTTAATACAAAGAAAAAATTACTAGAAAAAAGAAAAATTTATAATTAAATTATAAATTGAATATATTCTTTTTATAGTAATAATATTTTTAAAAAATATTATAAGTAAAAAAAGTTTATAACTTTTTCTTTTATATAATGATGCTAATAATATATTACTTTTAAAAATTAAAAAATTAACTTTCACAAAATTTCACATAACTGAATCACTAGTAAATGAAATAAAACTCACTGGTTTACTAGGATAAACATCGGTTAAATGATCTTTTAATTGGCCAACAGTCCATCCAATGTCACAATTTATGATTTGATCTTTAATCTGCTGATTCGGTGCTTTTATTATCACTCTGACAGCAATTCCTTCCATTATTTGTAATGTCTGTTTTTATGTTTCTTATGATCAGCTGTTCTTACTGTCAATCACTTAGATGGGATTAATTAACAATGCTACCGAGGCAGATTAATATAATTTGCGTTTATGAAACTTTATACACTTGCATGTATATGCAATATAATATTGTCTTCTTTGTCAAACTAATTTGCTGATTTACATAAAACTTTCTTGAGAAATAAAAATTACAATAGATTCATAGATAATATAATATAACTTCATAATGAGAACAGATATTTAATCGTAGATATATTTTTATGAGTCACTAAATGAAATCACTTATGTGACGATTTATCATTCGTAGATTACAATTATTTATTCTTTGATAAGAGCTGATCTTCAAGTTACATTTTCTTTGTATTTTATGGCGATATCATAATGCTTGAATTCATGAATGTTACTAACAGTCATGAAAACTGTATCGTAATAATTACAATTTGGCGCCAATGGAGTTGGCAATCGTTATCAGAAAGTCAGCACCTTCGAAATTTTTGAGTTTGAATTTGAATTGAATAAAGTTTAAATGTAATGAAATGTGAGCAATATTTCACTTGTTTCATTAACTGTTTTTCTTATTAAAACATGTTATTGTTTATTCTTCGTTAAAAAATTGATATTATAAACATTAAATATTGAAAAATAACATTAATATAAATTAAGCTTATTATTATGTTAACTATTTATTAACCTTAACATTTATTTCAATTTTTTAATTATTTATCAATATTATTTGTAATTAAAATTTCATTTAATTAGTGAGTCTAAAATTTTTCAATCTTTATATGAAGTATTGATACATATTTTATAATTTATAATCTTTTTTAAAATATTTTTTTAATAATCATATATTTTTGTTATCTTGCAGGATTCCTTCAAAATCTGGAAATAATTCTAGGCGATCTTCTGTAAGTAGATAATTATTGAAAAATTTTAATATTTCTATAATATACAAATAATATTAATATTTGATGATTTTATAATATTTCTTTGTTATGTACTACTATTGCTTTTAATTTTGTCTATCATGCCATGCATTTTGCATTAAAATTATATGGGTTTATTATGCTCTTTAATTTAATATGCTCAAATAATAACATTTGTTCTTTTGAAACTTTATTTATATATAATCGTTGTTTTTATAATATACTTAGATACTTAAGCCTCCCAAACCACGTCATCCTCTACAGAACTTAAATTTTAATAATTCATCCAATGAAAATAGTCCTGCTACTACAACAAAAATCAAAAGACGTGTTAGTTTTGCAGAAAAAAAGCATGTCAAGTAAGTTACTTGTTCCTCATATGTTTATTTTTAATGAACTTTCATAATTTTATTTATTTCATTAATACATAATATGAAATTCATTGTGCAGAGAATTTTGTAATTCTTTGGAGCAAGGAACAGTATGGGATAATACATATGAAGAACATGATATAAGTGATATTAAAATATCATGTTCTTTTCAAAAAGAATATGAATCTAAAAATATACATAAAGAAAATATTTTTAATAATATTCATGAAAATAATGTGCAATATATTTGTAATGAAACAATAACAAAAGATATAAATATTGACAGATCTAATTCATATATTATAAATACAGTTGAAAAAGAAAATTGTCGAGATGAAATGTTACTAAATGAATCATTAATTATTTTTCATAATGTGGATACTGAAAAAAATGAATCTATTTTCTTGCATGATTCACAATTAAAAAATAATAACTGTACATCAAAAAATATTATTGTGTATGAAGATTCTGATAAAAAATTAATTGAACAATCAAATCAGATATCAGATTATTTAGAATCAAATGTATGTAATTTTGATAATAATAAATTAAATATCACATCTGATCAAAATATATGTATGGATTTAACTGAAGTTGTTAGCCCTGCAAATTCTATTAATCGTGATGAAACAAAAAAGATGCTTAAAAATGCATCAATAGAATTAATAAATGATATTTTACCAAATAAGGAAAACTTTCAACAATTTAATAAATCAAATGTAGGAGAATCTAGTATAACAAATCAAAATAAATCAATGGAAATTACTGTGTCCCAACCATCTGTTATTAAACTTAATAAAAATATTGATAACATAAATACATTTTGTGTAGATGACAAAACTAAAAGACTTGATATTTCAATGGAAATAACTTCAGCAATACCAACTTCTTTATGTAATCTACAATCAAATAATAATGATATAAATTATTATGTTTCTAATTTAATATCATATAATAATGATAATAAGATAACTCCTTTTCATGACATATCAATGAATACTACTAAAGCTATAGAAACAATTGTTCATAAATCATCTGACAGATCACCTGTGGTACAAAAAATATCACAATATAACATTACAAAACAAGATGAAGAAACCAAATTATTAAATACATCTATGGAAATTACTAAAATAGTTCCAATTAATGTACATTCTGTAATAAAAAATTATGGACCAAATGAAATTAATTTTGATACAGAAACTAATGTTAAAAAGTTAAAATATGATTCAGATATTTATGAAACCTTAACAAATTATGATAAAACAAAATTTTATAATAATGAAGAAATGGAATTTACCACAGCTATAACATCTTTACCTGCAATATGTCAAAATAATCTACAGTTATCTATGCAAGATATTTCTTGCACGCAATTAAATTCTTCAAATTCAATATCTGATAATTCTGGAAATCATTCATTGACAAATAAAACTATTATTTTTGATAACAATTCAATGACAGTTACTAAAATAGTACCAACACTTGATAGGAAGAATCAAGACATTATCACAAAACTCTCCCAAAGTGAAATAGATTTTGATATATGTTCTAGTAAATTTAGACAATCAATATTACCTGATAATTTTGAAAAAAAAAATCTTATAGATGTTTCAAACAACAAAGATAATTTGTTAAGAGATAAGAGTACTATAGTAAAAATTTCTTCTTTATTAAACTCAGATATAATTTCAAATGATAATAGGAAAATGAAATGTACCAAAGCTGTAACATCCATAAATACAATAGATCAAAATAATTTACAAATACCTCAAGATATTTTATGTACACAATCAAATTCTGCAAATCCAATATCTGATAATTGTAAAAATCATTTATTATTAAATAAAACTATTATTTTTGATGATAATTCAATGATAATTACTAAAGTAGTACCAATACTTGATAAA